AATTTGGATTGAATTACAACTTTGGAACCTTTCAGGCAAAAACTATTGCCGAACCAATATAACTTCTGCTCCACTTTAAACTATGGGGAAATGTGAATTTTTGTTTTGGTGTGACTGAACCCCAGAGAGAGGCTGCCTACGTATTCTTGCGGAATCAGGTCGAACGTAGTTCAGGGAACTTTTATGTTTGATTTCTTTTGTTTGTTTGTTTTTTTTAAATCATTTTTGGGTTCCAAAGAGGGTAGTCAAAGAAGGGTAACCGGCTCAAAGGGTTTGCAAAGGGTTGACAGTGTTTGGGTAGCAAGAATGAAAGCCTTCGTCATCCCAATCGGAGAATATTAGTACCACAAAGGGGTTAAACATAATACCTTTTGACCGCATCCACATTGACAGGTATTTCAGGGTCATTTCATTCAATGTCTCCCAAGTACAAAGCCCCTTTTGGTAGCAGTTTTCTTATAATGTACGGACCCTTCCAATTTGGAGCAAACTTTCCTTTTGCTTCCTCATGATGAGGGGGAATACGCCTTAGAACAAGCTGCCCCACTTTAAAGTTTCTAGGCCGCACTTTCTTGTTGTAGGCACATGCCATTCTTTGTTGATACAACTGCCCGTGGCAAACTGCGGCCAACCTCTTTTCATCAATCATGGTTAACTGTTCTAGCCGGGTCTTGACCCATTCATTATCCTCAATCTCAGCTTCAACAATGATTCGAAGAGAGGGAATCTCAACTTCTACAGGTATTACAGCTTTAGTGCCATAAACCAATAGATAGGGTGTTGCCCCAACTGATGTGCGCACGGTTGTGCGGTATCCCAATAATGCAAAAGGCAGCTTTTCATACCATTGTCTAGAACTTTGAATCATTTTCCTGAGGATCTTCTTGATATCTTTTGTTTGCCGCTTCAACAACATCATTAGCTTTGGGCCGATAAGGGGTAGAATTCCGATGCGTGATCTTAAATTGTTCGCATACCTCCCTCATCAAATAACTGTTCAAGTTTGCAACATTGTCCGTAATGATAATCTTAGGGATACAAAAACGACAGATAATGTTGGAATGCATGAAGTCCACCACCGCTTTCTTGGTGACAACTTTGAAAATGACTGCTTTAACCCACTTTGTGAAATAATCAATGGCAACTAAGATGAATCTGTGCCCATTTGAAGCTTTCGACTCGATTGGCCCAATGACATCCATACCCCAAGCAACGAACGGCCACGGTACTGACATAGGATGCAACTCTGAAAACGATGCATGAATCAGGTCATCGTGTATCTGACACTGATGGCACTTGCGGAAAAAACTGATGCAGTCCCTTTCCATGGTCATCCAATAATAACCCGGCCGAAAGATTTTCTTTGCAAGGACATATCCGTTCATATGGGGTCCGCATACTCCCGCATGCACTTCATTCATGATTCTTCCGGCCTCTTGGGCGTCCACGCATCTCAAAAGGTTCAGGTCTGGAGTTATTTTATACAAGACTTCTCCGCTCAAGAAGAAACTACTGGCGAGCCTTCTAATGGTTCTCTTTTGGTCTCCACTAGTTTTTTCAGGATATTCCTTTGTTGTCAAGAATCTTTTGATATCATGATACCATGGCTGAATATCTGGTTCCATTTCAATTGTATTGCAATAACCATGTCTTTCTCGGATTTGGATTTCCAGTGGGTCAGTGTGGACATTGCCTGGATACGGCAGCATTGAGGCCAAAGTAGCTAGTGCATCAACTAACTCATTGTGGAACCGAGGGATATACCTGAACTCGACGGATTTGAACCGTTTTCTAAGATCTTCTACATGTTGCCTGTATGGGACAAGCTTGATATCTCGAGTTTCCCATTCGCTTTGAACTTGTCGAATAATCAAGTCAGAATCTCCCATGATTAACAATTCTTCCACATCCAGGTCAACTGTCATGTTCATGCCCATAATGCAAGCTTCATACTCGGCAGTGTTGTTCGTACAAAAGAACCGACGTCGGGCTATGGCCGGAAAGTGCTGGCCAGTGGGAGAAATCAAAATTTGCCCCAATCCCGACACCTTTTGCATTTACCGCTCCGTTAAAGAACATTTTACAGGCCTTGGCGTCGTCTGAAGTTACCTCAACTGAATTTACTTCCTCGTCCAGAAAGTAAGTACTCAAGGGCTGATATTCATCATCAACCGGATTCTCAGCTAGGTGATCCGCCAGGGCTTGAGCTTTCATCGCTGTGCGGGTGACATAGACAATGTCAAACTCAGTTAGCAGGATTTGCCATTTTGCTAGTCTTCTTGTGGGCATCGGCTTTTGGAATATGTACTTCAAGGGGTCCAACCTAGTTGTGAGATAGGTGGTATAAGCGAACAAGTAATGCCTAAGCTTCTGAGCGACCCAAGTTAGGGCGCAGCAAGTTCTTTCCAACAAAGTGTACTTGGCTTCATAACTAGTGAACTTCTTGCTCAAATAGTATATGGCTTGTTCTTTCTTCCCGGTCACATCATGTTGCCCGAGAACACATCCAAAAGAATTCTCCAACACTGTCAAGTACAAGAACAAAGGCCTTCCAGGCTCGGGTGGGACCAACACTGGCAGATTCGACAGATATTCTTTGATTTTGTCGAAAGCTTCTTGACATTCATCTGTCCATCTAATAGCCGCATCTTTCTTAGCTTAAATATGGGCTCGCAGGTGGTGGTCAGCTGTGCAATGAACCTGCTAATGTAATTCAACCTTCCCAATAGACTCATAACCTCTTTCTTGGTTCTCGGAGGTGGAAAATCCCGAATAAACTTTATCTTTGTTGGATCTAACTCGATGCCTCTCCGACTGACTATAAACCCCAAAAGTTTCCCAGATGGTACTCCAAATGCACACTTAGCTGGATTCAACTTCAAGTCATACTTACGCAGGCGCTCAAAGAACTTTCTCAAGTCTCGCACGTGGTCATCCTGTGTTCTGGATTTGATGATCACATCATCTACATACACCTCAATTTCCTGGTACATCATGTCATGAAAGATGGCAGTCATAGCTCTCATGTAAGTTGCCCCGGCGTTCTTTAAACCAAACGACATGACCCTATAACAGTAAGTACCCCAAGGTGTGGTGAAAGCCGTCTTTTCTGCGTCTTCTTCATCTATTAGAACCTAGTGATACCCAGCATAGCAATCCACAAAAGATTGTATCTCATGTTTGGCACAATTGTCAACAAGAATGTGGATGTTTGGTAATGGGAAGTTATACTTGGGACTTGCTTTGTTCAAATCCCGATAACCGACACACACTCGGGTTTTCCCATCTTTCTTCGGTACTGGGACCACATTAGCCAACCATGTGGTGTATCGGACCACTCGGATCACACCGGCTTTCAACTGTTTAGTGACTTCTTCTTTGATCTTGTCACTGATGTCTGTTTTAAACTTTCTCTGCTTTTGTTGGACAGGTGGATAACCGGGATAAGTTGGCAATTTGTGCACTACTAAATCAACACACAATCCTGGCATATCATCATAGGACCAGACAAACACGTCTTTGAATTCGAACAAAAGTTGGATCAATACATCTATAGTTCTTTCATCAGCATAAATGCTTATCACGGTTTCCTGGACCTCTTCCGGACTACTCAAATTAACTGGCTCGGTTTCATTTAAGTTTGGCTTAGGCTTATTCTCAAATTGTTCCAGTTCTCGATTTATTTCCCTAGAAGCCTCATCTTCATCATATTCTGGTTCTTGATTCATTATTTCACAGTTCGACAGTGTATTAAGATCTGGGCATGAAGTCCGCAAGCATGTCATGTTATTTAAGTCCGCATTATTAGAACTGAAAGGAGAGATAAGAAAAAATAACAGAAATCAGAATGAATAAAGAAAGAGATTCATAGACGATGAAATATTGATTTCATTTCATTGAATTTGAAGATAGGAGGGTTTACATCGGAATTTAAAAGACAATAAACTAAAAACATTAGAGTTACACCTTGAAATAACTCGGAATGCAGAAAAGATGGCAAGACTGAACTACCGAGATTCCCGCCTGATTGGGAATGGAGTAGCCTTCCAATTTTGAAGCTTGGCGTTGGGCCCCATATATTGCACCTCAGCAGTGCTTGAGCCTTCACCTGGTTGGACCATGTGAACCTCATACAACATTTGCCTTATTGCCCTACAAATGTCTTCAATTTCTTCGGCTGTGAAGGCCTCTTCTTCTTCTTCTATGTACCTTGGCTTAAAAAACGTTCTGGAGAGATATGGGACCGATTGAGGCAGGACCCACCCATTGTTCTTACATTCATTAGCCCATTTTACATCGGCTTCTATAGCTTGGAAACCTACGCCAAAGAAATTCTCACTGGCAGTCAGAGTGATGGGCTCCGTGATGCCTTGCAAAGATACCCCGAGCCCCTTCCCGGGCTTGTACCCGTGATTGATCATTTCACTGGCGACCATGATCGATGCGTTTGATAAGCAGGGTTGAGGATATGGGGTTCCTTCCTCACATTGGTCCGCGACCAGGATCTCAAAAGCTTGATAGACTATGTGCTCACTACCCTCCCTAGCCTCCAAACATGGGACTGACGGGTTCCTGTAGATTTATTGCTCATCTTCTCCGTGGACCACAATTTCTTGGTTTTCATGTTCAAACTTAACCATTTGGTGGAGAGTAGAAGGTACGACTCCTGCAACATGGATCCAGGGTCTTCCTAGGAGAAAGTTGTAGGAGGTGTCCATGTCCAAAACCTAAAATGTTACTTCAAAATCCACAGGGCCAATGGTTAGGACCAAATCAATCTTCCCTATTGTATCCCTCTTGATGCCGTCGAAATCACGTATGCAAACATTGTTGGGTCTAATCCTTTCAGTCCCAATTTCCATCCTCTGTAAGGTTGAGAGAGGGCAGATGTCAACCTCAGATCCGCCGTCCAACATAACTCTTTTCACATAGTATCCTTCACACTTAATGGTCAAATGAAGAGCTTTATTTTGGGCAGCCCCTTCTGGAGGCAAGTCATTTCAACTGAATGAGATCCGGTTGACTTCAAAAAATTGTTCCGCCATTCTTTCCAATTGTTCAACAGTGGTTTCGACTGGAACATATGCCTCATTAAGCGTCTTTAACAGCACTTTCTGATGCTTCGAGCTTATCATCAGGGACAAAAGTGAGACCTGAGAGGGGGACTTCCTGAGTTGATCAATTACAACGTAGTCTGAGGTTTTCATCTTTCGGAAGAATTCCTCTGCTTCTTCAGCACTGACCGACTTTTTAAGAGGAAAACACTTCTGCTTTGTCTTGTTCAATTCTTCTAAGTTGAGGTACTTCCCAGACGGGTACGTTTCATTTACTCCCCCCATGATTTCTTTTCCTTTGTACGTCACCACTGCTTTATTGTAGTTCCAAGGGATGGCAGTGGGGTCTTTCATGGGATTCTGTGGTGCGTGGCTGATAACCACGGGCTCAGTCAGCCTGGGTGAAATTATCCCGCGCCACATGTTCCCTTTGGTACGTACATCTTTGGTACCTTCAACGTAACCTTGTTTTGCTCAAACCTTTTGGGAGGACTTAACACGAACTGTTCCTTTCTGGGGGCCCTGGGTACATAGAGAACGGCATTTTTAGGAGGTGCTGCCCCTATCATGGTTTCCATAGCCTTTTCTGTGCTTTGGGGAGTGGATTTGATCTTTTTCTCATTCTTGGCTTGCTTTGCTACCGCTTTGGGTTTCTTTTCTACGTCGGCGATAGCAATGATAGCCTTCAAAGCTGGGTCAAATTCTTTGTCCTCACAGATCATCCCAATGACTAGCCCGTTGTTGTGAGTCGGCAATGGGTTATTAGTTACATTGGGGACTTCTTCATCCCTCAAAACTACCCGCTTCTGTTCTATCAGATTTTCAACCGCTCTCTTAAAAGTCCAACAATCTTCAGTGTCGTGCCCTTCCGCCACTGAGTGATAAGCACATCTGGTACAGGCCGGTAGGACGGTGACTCTAGGTCTTTCCTGTTTGGAGGTACGGGCTGTAACAGGCCCGTTTGGACCAACTTTGGGAAGAGACTGGAATATGATTCACCGATGGGTGTGAAGTTAGTTTTTCTGGGTGGCTCACGGGGACGGGCGTTATATGGATAACTATTTTGTGGCGGACGTGGATTATACGGGGCTTGGTGAGAAGGGTTGTTTCTTTGCGGTGGAGCTCGGTTCTGATTGTAATGTTGTTGTGGCCAAGTGTATGGCTAGGCGTTCATTACTGCATAAGGATGAGGAGTCATGGCATATGCCGCATCTTGGTGAGGATAGTAATGTTGCGAGGTGCTGGAAGGGGAACCAAAGTAACCTCGGGATTGATGAGGATTTCTCAAACTTAAAGCCATCATTGCTCCCTCTTCTTTCTTTTTCCGGTTTAGCACACCCCCTGACCCGCTCTGATTGCTTGAGAAGTGGCTCTTATAGCTGATTGGCTCATGATAAGACCCGTTTTCAAACTATTTTCCACCATTTCTCCAATCTTTATGGCTTCTGCAAACGGCTTGCCCATGGCAGACATAATGTTTTGAAAAAAATCGGCCTCTTGGGTTTGTAAGAAGACACTGACCATCTCGGCCTCATCCATTGGGGGTTTTACCCTGGCCACTTGTTCACACCATTTGATAGCGTATTCTCGGAAGCTTTCTGAAGATTTCTTTTTGAGATTGGACAAAGAGTTTCTGTCTGGAGCTAGGTCCACATTATACTGGAACTGTCTGACAAAGTCTCGGGCCAAGTCATCCCATATGCGCCAGTGGGAGATGTCTTGGTCCATATACCATTCTGATGCAATCCCAATTAAACTCTCCCCGAAGTAAGCCATCAATAGTTCTTCCTTTCCGCCCGCTCCTCTTAACTGATTACAGTATTTTTTCAAATGGGCAATCGGGTGTCCATGCCCGTCATACTTTTCGATTTTTGGCATCTTAAAGCCGACGGGCAGATGAACATGAGGAAACATGCACAGGTCGGCATAGGAAACACTCTTCTGGCTACTCAAGCCTTGCATGTTCTTGAGACTTTGTTCGATGCTGTTCATTTTCCGAGTTATCTCTTCTTGCTCGGGGTTCTTCACAGTTCTCTGTTGTTCCAGGGTAGACTCATACCGAGGGTGCTGAGGGTAGGAGTTTGGGGTGACATGAGCCGTGTCCAGTTGAAATTGTGGCACTTGGAATGTAAAGGCTGACGGCTCGAAACCTGGCCTGGGCACTGTTGGCTGTGCTGTAGTAGAGGTTGGTGGTGCGGTGAACATTGTAGAAGATACTCCCGAAAATAGTGCCTGGGGGCGAACCTCAGAAGGCGTGCCGGTGAGATGACTTGATATAGTGGGGTATCCGAACGGGGTGAACGGGTTGGTTATAGGGACGTTGGAGGTTCCACTTGTCTTGGGAATCAGTTCGGGAAATCCAGGGATTGCACTGGGCGGTTCTCTGCCGTTAGACCAAGCGTCCCACATCTCCAACATGCGGAGACGCAATATTCTATTTTCTTCAGCAGTTGCTGGCTCTAATGTCGGGATAACCGATGCCGGGCTGTCCTCTAAGGGGTTAATGATTGGTAGATGACTCTCTGATGCCATTTCAACACTCCCTTTGGATCTCGTGAAGTAAGGGTGTGAAGACAGGTTAACACAAAACCAACCACCTAAAAACAGAACCTGTTCTCAAACAGCATACACAACAAACCGGTTAGTTTGAGACATTTAACACATAGGGGATCACACGTTGGGCAATGCAATGCACCTAAGCAGTTAATTATTTTTCTACATGTTTTTGCAACGGCTGCGTGTCTCTTCCCGACTTTTCTTCCAAATCCAGAATCTTTTCTTTCTTTGAGCTCTTTTATTTTTCTCTCTCTTTTTTTTTTCGAGTTGTCTATATCTATGATCGAATTCGATGGGGATTGCCTACGTATCATGACGCCGCATGAATCAGATCATTACGTAGTTCAGGAGATAAATGCAAAATAAAAGAAAGAAAAATTTTGGGTTTTCAAATTTTCATTAAATAAAACTTCTGGTTTTCCTCTATTACAACGACTCCGCCATACAGACTTATAAAAACCAAAACAAACTCAAAGTAGACTAACAAACTCTAAAAAAAATTGAAATACAGACTGGAAAAGAAAATCAGGAATACATAAGTGCCTCCAATACTACTCCAGGGCCCGCAGGACATCAGTCGGTCTCAACGCGGGCCTACGTGCAATATCTTCTTGCAGGCAATCGAGGTCGTCCATTATCTAGCGGACAAAAGTCATCACAACAGCGAAGAACATGGATCTAGTCATATCCTCGCACTCATGGCATTTCGTGACGATGTAATCAGCTATTCCTTTAATCCTTTCTCTAATGATTCCCTTCTCTTGGAGTAGGCGTCTAATTTGTTGAGACCTAGCCTCCAGAACTTGGGTGTCCGTATGGTTTTGCTCTTGCAACTGTTGCATGTCCTCTTCCAGTCGAGACATCAATGCATAACAATGCTCTCTTTCTGCTTTGAAGTTCTTTGTTTGTTGAGCCATTTCGTTCTCAAGAGTAGTTAGCTTTTTCTTTAAACCTGCGACTTCTTTGTCATATTTTTCTTTTATCTTCTGAACAAACCTCGCCCGTTCTTCTGCATTCTTCGCCCGGGCTTTTGCCAATTCATCTTTGGCTTTTTCCAAATCGGCCCCATAATCACACACTTTTCGCCTAAGACTGTTTATGAGTTTTTCATCTGTTCTGCTTCTTCCCGGGTTTTCAACAACTATCTTCATCCTTTGAATTTGGGCTCGGAGGGCTTTATTTTCTCGGGCCAACTTTTTCTTCTCCCCTTCATCCGCAGCGGCCTGCAAACTACTATCAAATTTAATGTCCCTGATTTGCCCTTCTAGCTTGCTTATGGTAGGCCTATAGTCATTCTCTTTGGTTAACCAAGCCCAATGTTCTTGTGACGCATCAACAAACTCTTGGATGTGGGGCCTTTTGGTTGGCCTTTCAGATCCATCATTTGCCGCGATTCTCTTCCCATACCAAGCAAGATAACCAGGCGAAACCTCACCCTGGATAAATCACGCACTCGGGTTTTTGCCCCCCCAGATACTGGTATTCGCTCCAAATCCGGCGAACCACTTCTTCAGGAAATTGAGCCTCGGAGCGCATTTCAACTACGTGAATACTAAGATCTTTGTCCTTGGGAACTATCTGGCATCTTCTAAGTTGTCTCAGAATTTGATATGGGGCATAGCGTTGGATGCTTCGGAGACCCATTAGTAGGAAGTAAGGACCGGTAGCAGGCATGTACAATTTCATCAACGGGAAGCCAACTCAGTGTCCACTGTATCTGATCCGCAGTTATGGAACGAAGGTGGGATATCCAATCTTTGACCCCTTCTGGTATTTCAAATCCGTTCACCCGTGTACCAAACTCTTCAATGCAGCTTTTTCCTGTAGACCAGTAGTTCATGTATCGGGGATGGTGACAAAGGTGTTCAATCATCCACATTTGTAACAACAGATTGCACCCCTCAAAAAACTCTGCTCCGACCTTACAGGCTGTGAGAGCTCGGAATAATTCTGCTACGATCATGGGTGCGAGGGTGTTCTTGGCATTGGTAATCAAAACTTTTACGACTCCAGCTACTCGCAAATTAATATTCCCGTCCTCCCTTGGAAACCCTAAAAGTCCTAGAAATGCCACCATGAAAGCAAAACATCTATGTATTTCCCACTTTGATCTGTTTCCGTTACTGCAAAGTCCACCTTCTGGGTCATCCAATCCTCTTAAATGTCCATACCGCTGGTACAGAAAGTGTAAAGTGGAGAATCCCTCTGTCAGATCTGCATTCTGGACTTGCCTGGTTATTTTCAATAAGTCCAGAAATTTGTGGGGAGTAACGGCCCTTGGAGCTATCAAGTATTTTTTTCTCAAACCCTCTGTACTCCTAACATAACCCGCCATTTCCTCCAAGGTAGGTGTAAGCTTAAAATCCGAGAAATGCAGCACGTTATGAGCGGGGTCCTAGAATGTTACCAATGCCTCTATTACATCACTCCTAGGCTTAATCTTCAATAATCCAGTGAGTGCCCCAAGGTAGTGGTTGACCCTATCTCGCCCCTGTTTTCCCAAATCCTCCCACCACATGTGGAGTTCTAATGGAATCTCAGTCATAACGCTCACCGGTAAATTCTGAACCGTGCTTATTCTGCACATTTAGAAGGTGATTAAGGTGCCCATTCTTTGTTTTATAAAAGAAAAATAAAACCAATCAAAAGATTATTTTTGCAAAAATTTAAAACAAATTATGGCTACTTTTGCAAATACGGCCCTTCAGCACTTCAGAAAAGGAAGATTTTAGGGCTGTGTTTGCTAGGTGGCCAAAATTGACAAAAGGACCGTTGGTGCCTATTCTTGCAAAAACGGCCTTTCGGCGTCCCATCGGGACATTTCTGGCTGCTTGGACAAGAACGACATCACCTAGCTTTATTTATGATAAAAATGACAACATTTCATATTTTTGGTTATTTTTGCAAAAACGGGGCTGGACCCGATGGGAGTTGCCTACGTAACTCACATCCGGTGAGAATCAAACCCGCGTAGTTCCCTTGACATAATTGAAAAATATGACTTATTTCGAAATGACTTTTTCTCTTTATTTTTTTTTCAAAATTTCGGCAGAGTTTCGGGACGTTTTGAACATCGGGTTTTTCAGAAACGGGTGATTTTCTCTCTCTCACCTCAATTTGGTTTTTTTTGACTTTTCTTCCCTATTCTAAAATCGGTCAACATGCAAACGGAAGCAAATAAATGTACAAGTAGCACGTAAAATGCATCCGGATGGTCTTTTGATTTTTGGGTACACCTGTCCTAGACTGACCCAACCCCTGTGTTGAGTCTCCAAAGTCAAATGCACCTGATGCAAACAAGCGTTCCTACTAGGGATCCAGCATGAGGCTATGTTATTCTAGGTTTAAAACCTGGGTGTATTGTTCTAGACCTGGCTTAATCGAGCGGACAACTCGAGCCGAAAGGGGGCAACGTACCGGTAACCAAAAGGCTATCCGGCTATGTATCTAATCCGAATCTCGTTCTAATTTAGGTTATGACTCTAACAGAAAAGAAGTCACGCCAGCGTGCACTTACCAGAAGATTTAGAAGACTAAGAGAAAAGAAGAGTTTCGTAACAGTTTATATGCAGTTCAAACAATATCAAAGCGGTAAAAAGCGGCATTTAGCACATTAGGCCCAAACATGTAATAAGAATCAGATAATAAATAAAAGCCAAGAATAACAGTTATTCTAAGCTCCAATTCTTGAACCCTAAACCAGAGATTCTAGGTTCTTATCCCCAGCAGAGTCGCCAGAGCTGTCACACCTCGTCTTTACCCGAGGGCGGATATAAGGGAGTTTTTCCAATTTAAGTGACATAAATTGAAATGGGATTATTTATTTAATCAGAGTCGCCACATGGGATAATTTATGTTGTCCCAAGTCACCGGCTTATTTTAAATCCCAAATCGAGGAAAATTGACTCTAATTTTTGGTCCGCGAACACAGAAGACCGGGTAAGGAATTCTGCTAACCCGGGAGAAAGTGTGAGGCACTCCCGAGTTTCGTGGTTTTAGCACGGTCGCTCAACTTTTAATAATTGGCATAATTATCTGATTTATTACATGTTTTAAGCCTATTGTGCATTTTTAACTTTATAACCGCTTTTATTTATTTATGGAATTATTTCTGAAGCAAGTTACGATTGTCGTACACTTGTTTGTTTTTGTACACATTGCGAATCGTGTCACGGGAACTATACCCACGATTTACAACATGTGTATTTTATTATTGTTCGAAGTTGTTATAATCGAGTCACATGAAATGCACACCCGAATTTGGGAATTATGTATCATAACTATGTTACGGGAACCGTACCCATAGTCACGATGATTCATTAATCACGCCTAAAGAAAAACTAAGATATTCAGATTTTCCTAAATTAACTTTGATTGTTATAAGCACCTACAACAGTGTCTAATGAAAAAATTGTCAACTATCTTTGGGAAAATATGGCTTTAATGGTTACAAGCCCAAAGCACAAGATGAAACAGCCCAATTGGCTATTTGGTAAAGACTGGCCCAGTCTCGATTCTTAAATGACTGGGCCTAGTACGAATTTGTGTTCAATGCCAATAAAATTCACCCAAAATAAACATTTGTCCAGAAGCCAAAATTCAGTTCATGCAGAGGTAAAAATCCGAAGATGGTGCGAGTTTTAATATTAATTATACTACATATGATTTCCAATACTTAAAAATGAGTTTAGGTTAAAATTCAATGAGGTAAGCCCATAGCTGGCATCAAGCTATTGGGCTTAGTACCCCGGCCCATCCACCTGGGCCTACATTTGCTCAGGTGATTCCCAGGTTGGGCCTTGTTGCAAGTCTGGCCCAATTCGTATAACCTACATTCAGGCAATTCTGTGGCAACAGGTTGTATTATAACAAAAAACTCATGATATTATGAATATAACTATTAATCACCATGATCAAACTTGAGATTAAAATATTCCAATAGTCAAATTACTACTGAACAGTCCATAAATTTATAA